ATCCATAGAATTACAGATGTTCTCTGTTATATATTCAATATTCCCTTCTTTATCGTATATCCAAAGAATGAATTGTTTTCTTTTGTTATATTTTCAAAGAAAGGAATATTCCCTTCTTGATTATATATTTATCGAATTAATGATGTTCTCTTTTATATATGATCAAAGAAGGGAACATTCCCTTCTTTATCGTATATAAAAAAAAATTATTTCTTTTTCTTATATTTTCAAAGAAGGGAAAACCCCTTGATTCATTAAGGTCTCCTCAAACCCGTTGACCCATTAATAAGGTTTTCTCTTCTTTTTATATACGCGAAAGGAGATTCCTGGAGTGACTATAATAAACTTGGTGTCATTATAACACAATTATTAACAGAGCTAACAACATGCTTGGTTTCATAAAACGTTTCTGCTATAACTTTCACGATCCTTATACGATAAGAACATTGTTCATTGCTTATGTAAGGTCGATATTAGAATATTGCAGCATAGTTTGGTCTCCTTTTTCAATCACACACGAAGAAAGAATACAGTCCGTTCAAAAGCAGTTTCTATTGTATGCACTCCGCAAGTTAGGTTGGACTGTATTTCCTCTGCCATCTTACACAGCTCGGTGTATGCTCATAAATATCCAAACATTGAAAGAGCGTCGTGAATTTGCTATGATTTCTTTCGTAAACGATATCGTATCACATCGAATTGATTCAATGGACCTATTGTCATCCTTAAATTTTTATACACCATCTAGGCATTTACGAAATAGAAATATATTTGCTACTAATCGTCATCATACGAATTATGCCAAATTTGGACCCTTGAACCAAATGATGGATACATATAATAAGCACTGCGATAACATTGACTTTACAATGACAAAAACCAAATTAAAGCAATATTTTAATTCCTCGCATAACGTCAACTAGAAGTAATGTTTTAACTTGTTCTTAAGACATATTATAAAAAATATAAAAACAAAGACAGAATTGTAAAAATAGCACTTAAGACAACAATTGTAAAACGGTCTACACTGATTGACGACAAATAAATAAACTAAAATAGTCAATAACACATGGCATACTTTTCTGGAGAATGGTACATTCAGGGGAATGCTTTTCTGGGGAATGGTGCATTCTGGGGAATGGAATTCTGGGGGATGGTTTTCTGGGGAATGGTATTCTGGGGAATGTTATAGAATTTTCATTTGGTATAAAAGACATTTGGTTATTCTAAATCTCTTCCAGATTACATAAATAATACTACACACATTCACTACAACGTTTGATAAATAGCTAAACTGACGCTCAAACCTTACTGACATTCCTGTCCAACTGGCATACTTTCAATAGAGATTTAACCTAGGAAAAAGCTCGCGAATCATAGTGAACTTTTGCATCACTGATTTGCATGAATCAATTTTAAATTGTTATTTTTATCATTTGTATTCAGTTTAAACTACAAAAGAAAATTTTCTTCTAAAAAATTTACCCATCTTTTGATCACATGCTGTTCTTCCATTTGTCTTAATTTCGGGGCTATAGCCATTCGGGGTAGTAGGGTATTCGGGGTAATGGCCATTCGGGGTAGTAGGAATATTTCAAATGGTGGCATTCGGCATTCGGCGTAGCGGCGTTCGGGTTATGGCGTTCGGGGTAGTGTCACAGAATCACGCCAGGTACCGATCTTTAGAAAACTCATCTTCTTCTTCTCATTCGCATTTCAAGCTTATTGCTTTTTGCATATTAGCTTATTGCGTGCTCTCAACTTAGTGTTCTACATGCACTTCCACAGTTATTAATTGAGAGCTTTCGATGCCAATTACCAGTGCATGAATTAGTATATTGTGTAGCAAGCACAATGATACTCTATGCCCTGGGAAGTCGAGAAAATTTTCAACCCGAAAGATTCCCTCGACCGGACCAGGAATCGAAACCGCCGCCTCCGGCTTGGTAATACCAGGCCTTTACTGACTAGGCTATGAGACCCCGGTAGAAAATTCATCGGTAATATTAAAACAATGCAGCGGTTGTACTAAAAAGTTGTTTTACGGTTTTTTTTATTATTTTTCCTTCATTTGTTTTCCGTAGATCTTGTTTTTCGTACTGAATACCAGTGCTACCGACGCCAGGGAGGCAGCTTCCACACCTGGACCCTACCCTATCGACCCATCAACTCATGGACCAACGACTTTGCTTCCCTTCCGAAGGAAGCCGTGATCAGAGATTTTATGCCTCAGAAATACCCCACCGGCACCGATTGGGATTGAAGCCCAGGCCTTTTGGAGAGGCAATCACGTTTACTACTACACCAACGGCGCCGCAGTTGATTTACTCTTGGTATAGATTCCATTTTCACACAAATGGCCACCATTTGAAATAGTTAAAGAGTTTTAAGGCTAAAGATTTTAAACAACTAAAAGAACTAAGCACAAAAACAAGTGTACCGACCAATCGCGGTCCTACATCAACCTTCCGTTCGTGTCCCTAGGCACAGACTCTAGTATTTTTTTCATTTTCATATCTTTCAGGTAAGCTTTGGGAACTTATCTAATAAAATTGGGGAAAATTATGTTGTTTTGTAAATCTGTTAGATGACTAGAAAAAAATTGGGTCATCTTTGGGTTACGATAAACAATTTTCGATAAAAAAAATTTGCTTCGATATAACGTAACGTTGCTTTATATCGAGGTACGACTGTAGTATAATATGATCTATGGTTTTCAGAATTTGGATCACCCAGAAAATAATTTTATTATCATCATACATTAGGCCAATGTTTTTAAATTGTTTTACCTTAGCGGAGTTTTACTATTTCAAGAATTATTCATTGATACTTGTTTTTATAACTCTTGTATGCTCAAATAACCTCGAATATTTAGCAAATTGATTCTTTACTTTAATTGTGGATTCTTTAAATAGGCAAAGTTGAGTTCAATCATACCATGCAATTAAAATATTCATGTAAAACTTGAGTTTAAAGAAATTGAGTGACTAAAATCGGTGTTGTTTGTATTATGTTATATTTTATTAATTATATATCGACGAGATGGATCCGGAATTTTGACGTCTGTGTTTTTAAGGAGATACCTGCGATGGGTCGAGGAAAGTCTACAAGGAGGCCAGTTGCTGTTGGTGCAGCTCCACTTCGTTATTTGGGTGTGTTCATTCCTTTTTATTTATTTATACAGTCCCTCCCTATCGTTAGGACGACGAACCCTGCTTCAAACCCTACCCTCTTATCCAACATCCCAGTGATTCCTCGTGGAAGTTTAGAGGATTTCTTGGCGAGAGTCACGTCAACACATTCCTACCCATTCCTTTCTTGATCTGCGTTCAGGCCCGGCCGGCGCTGGTATTGCCCAGTTTGAGATCACCAGTTTTTACACATTCAGGATGATTGCTAGTCCCAAGCATCGTCTATTGGTTCTCTGTGTAATTACAGCTGATCTGGCAATAACAGAGTAGCAACCGTGGGCGGTCAATCATGCTCATGCAGTTGACAGCTCGCTCCCATACAAAGTCCCACTGAGGGGCGCTATGCTGGTGATTTTTGCTAATGTAATCGCACTTATTTAAAATAATTACAGTGCTCTAAAATTGATGAAATTTTGTTTTTGGTTCTATTTTTTATGCAGATTACAAATATGTATTTACCTCAATACCCCTAAACAACCCAATTTAGACGGCTTTTCCCCATAATACAGTAATGACCCGATTTTGTTTGCCCCTTTATTTTGTTTGCATCAGACTTTAATCTTTCACCGTAATTCCAAATCTTTCGCATTGTTGAAGGATGAATGTTTAAGGTATATTTTGATGCAATAATACCACTGAACCCATGCGCGTTTTGTAGAATACTAGAACCGATTTTCAAAAAGAGGACTGAAAAAATCGGGTGATTACTGTATTGATAATTTCATTGTGTTTAAGAGATGAACTAGCCTCAGGCTAAAAATCTCTAAAATAAAGAAAAAAAAAAAAAAAAAAAAAAAAATTTCATTGTGAAAACACAAATTCGGATGATTAATAAATAAATAGTTTAATAAATGTGACATCAATCGCATCAGGAAATATCAAAAATAACACACTCACACGTATGTATGGGCATTGATTAGTTCGTAACCATTTAAGCGGAAAATTATTCTTAAAGAATAGCTCATTAAAAAAGTTTTGTGATTCAGCCCATCATCAACAAAATTGTCCATATCAAAACCCAACTAAGACTATGGCTGAAAATAACAGACATCACGAATGCATTTTGATTAATTTGTTAAGACATGTTGCTTTAGCCAAAGAAGAATAATATTATTTTAAAAGAACAGGAAAATGTTGTGATTTTCCATAGGATCATGAATTATGCCTACCGTCCTATATGTCTAATGTTCTCATGCCTAACATCATGTGAACAGTTAAATGTTTTACAGTTAAATACTCGCAAGACTACTGTATGCCCTTTTCAGCATAGTTGTCCCATTCGTTAAAACAGCAAGCTGAGAAAAACGCTGTTGAAGATTTTTTTCTCCATGAACTCTTATGGATGGGACAACATAGTTTTGTTATTTTTCGCGACATTTTCTGAACAAAGTACGATTTTTTTCGTGTACATTGTAAAGTGATGGTACTTGACAATCGATTCCAATGTATAACTCATAATCGCCAAAAATGCTAATGGGACTGTTATGCCGCACAGGGCAACACTCCTCTATCAACATGAGCAGGAAACCGGGTTTGACAAACTAAGCACTTTTCAAAGGATTTGAGAGCATTTACCGAAAAAAGGTGCAATTACATGTTTACCTTTTCAGAGCCAACTGCTGACACCGGGGTGCTTTCGGAGAAAAATGAGTAATTGCACAATCAGCTGAATGTTTCGCGTAATTATTTATGACTTGAGACGAACCCTTGGAACCGTAGCGCGATACATTTAATTAAATAATAAATAGACGGTTATGAAAATAGTTGATAGTAAGACCAGCGCTAGGGAAGGTAATTAATTTCACTCACCTGGCGGATCGCATTAAAATAATTGCATGTTCATATTTTCCGTCACGTAGCAAGGAATGAATCCTTATCATACAGTCTCCTCTGTGAACAAAATAAAACAATATTGATGATTAAAAACGAGGATTAATTTATTAGATGAAAGCGAGAACCTACTTCTGATCATCGATGGGAACGTCTGAAGCCCCGTCGAAAGGAATAGGATGATCTTCCTCTGGAAGCGTAATCTGATTAGCTAGACATGTCGAAACTTCACCAGCCATTGTTAGCCACAGCTCTTCCAAACTCTCCGCCTATTTCACCGCAAACGACAACCGTACAAAATGGAACGACACGGTCAACGTATCAACGATAGCAGAGAGAAAAGAAATGTAAAGGAAAATAAAATTAATTACTGTACTGAGTAGAAGAAGTAGTTTGGTTGAAATTAGACTCACATCAAGCGCCTTTCGTGAAGCAGCATTGTCCTGTCGTTTTTTGTTACGCTTTGGCTTGGCGCGTTTCTTACTCTGAACACGCACCGTCCCTTGGCAATACTTTTCCAGCATCTTGAAAAACATGTGAGCCGTCTCGACCACGTCACGTAAGTAAGCTCTGTAATAAATTCATGTTAGAGGGAAATATAATTAGGAATAAGAGAAGTGCTTTTTGGACTCATGTTTTTTACTCTTCTTGCAAGAAGGGTATATATATCGCTTGGATCGATCCGAGGCCCGGAGGGCCGTGTTTCATTCACCATTCGACTCAGCTCGACGCGATCGGAAAATGTATGTATGTGAGTGTGATGAGAGACGTGTTTTTTTTAGAATCGGTCAACTGGTTCCGGAGATATGGCTGAAACGGTTCCGGGTCATTTGGCCGAATACCGTTTGTCAGAATGCCGATTATCCGAATGCCGTTTGGCCGGATGGTGTTTGGCCGGATGCCGTTTGGTCGAATGCCATTTGACCGAATGCCAAACAACAAAACTCCAAAGAACTGCTAATCTTTGAAAGAAGGAAAGAACATTAAAACTCCAATGAACTGCTGATGATTGAAAGCCCTCCCCTTGGCTAGTTTTTGCACCTTGCTGTTGGTGGGCGGGCTTAATTTCATGCTAGTGGAGCGTTGGAGACGGTGGGTTTATGGTCGGCGTTGCTGGCTCATGCCGCGATAGAATGGCGTCATGGGCAGGCAATGGAGATTTCTGAGCTTCCCCTCTCTGATAAACCACTGCATGAGAGAACCAAAGATCTAGTCTAGCAGTGATAGTATCACACTTGTTACTCCTTTAATTGAGAGCCGCGTCGTAGTACGCTTACGTATAGGCACTGACGTTGGGTGTGATACTGGCGGGTTTTGCCGCAAATCACTCTTATTTTATTTATTTTACGCAGATAGATTCATTTGGGTTTGCAAGGGAATTATACTATTGAAATATTTCAGAAAGTGCCCAACAGTGCTCCTTCTATTTGCGTGACAAGCTTTCATTGTTGTTTTCATTGAATTATTACTCAGGAAACAATGTTAAACATCATTTTTGTACATGGTATTGTAACTAATCTTATATGTGCTTCATTTTGATTTGGGATAAATGTTTGAACTATGGCTCGGGATTTCCACTGTGGTGTGCTTCTATTGTGACATACCCATATGTATTTTTGTGGTGCCACATAGTGGAAGCGTGAGAGCGTAGTTGGAACATTTACCCTATACAATATACAATTTAAAATTAGCTTGGAAACTAACTTCAAAGTGAAGCATTTGAGTCACTTGAAGGTGTCATCTGGGACGAACAAAGATATAATTAATATATGTAAAAGCCAGAAGTACTTAAAACACGTTAAATTGTAGTTTAAAAGCATGGGTTATGATTGTGTAGGTAGATTAGAGATTTCAGTTATTTATTAAATAAACTTCAATTATAGAATTCAGAAAGTTAATTAACATAAGAGATAGGACGCTTAGGGAGGCGACTAGCCTATGAAGTTGTATAATAAATCTTCCTATTTAGTGTATTTGTTAATTACAGACAATGTCAATAGCGAAAGTCATATCTTCAACCAGGCGCTTACGAACAAGTGAAGTTTTAGGAAAGATGTGTTAAATATGTTGATAGGTTTGAAATAAGAATTTGGATTGTTGTGCTTTAGTTTTCGGTAAGGTATGATGTGTCAACAAAGCCCTTTTGAGCAAATTTTCAAACATCAAATTGATTGAGTGATTTATTGAAAGACATTGCGTTGCGAAAATTGACAAGTCATACATCTAACATAGTAGTAGTAGCAGTGTCGCATAATCTTATCACAATTGCTGTAAATAGTGCTGGACCCCTCCAGGCAGGGCTGAATACGAATCAAAACTAACATAACTACTAACACTAAAATGATCCCGGAACTAACACTTATCCATTGCACTTTTAGTTATATATTAGTTTTATTTTTCTACTAAGTCATCTATACTTCTTTCTATTGTTTGGATCAAGTACAACTAATACTAATCTACCTTTATGTATGTTTTACTCCCTTTTAACCCATTATCTTTATGAATGGCGAATCATATGACGTGAGACACGTACAAGCTGGAACTCAAAGAATTACTTCGAACAGGATGTCAAACAAATTCAGGACCAATCCAAATGAGACCAGAAACCAACAAGGCATCGGGGAGTTATATATTCTGGAAGAGGTATTTGATAAATAATCAAAAAGTGGTAAGTTAAAATCAGAGCCAAGGATCATGAGAGGCAATTGTCAATAATTCATTAATTAGTAGTAATCTCGATAACTTTTTAAGGGAGCGTATCGGCTTTTGTAGGCGGTGCGTTTGGTCGTCGATTTGGCTTAACTGGTGGCTCGCCCACGCGGGCTGGCACTATCATCAAATAGGGGAAATTTTCTTCTACCTGCTGGTGGTGTTGATAAGCGTGTGCGAGCTGCCGGTTGCGCCGGATCGACTATCGGATGCATTGCTTGCAGGAGCTGGTGCTTCCCTTTGAAAAAGTAATCGAGAAACAACCATATTATCCTGTAATTGATATTACTATTTTTATATATCAATGAAATTAGTCATGACAGAGTAACAGATGGGGAAGGACAACAGTCACAAGTTGACACAATAAACAAGACAAGTGGGGGTTAATACACAAGACAAAATGACAAAATAAGTGACGACAGAAGACAAAACTGGGACAAAAATCAACCTTAAAAAAAAAGAAAAAAAAAGAATGCGCAATTATATTATCAAAACTATTTGGATCAGCACAAAAACAACAGTGACCAAACGGACACCATAGCCTAGGAACGTCTGTGTGTTGATTTAAAATAGAGGCTCATAGAAGCAAAATGTATCAATAAAAGGGGTCCAGTGTAGAGTTTAAGCAAGTTGCTGCCACTGGATCACTACAAAAAAAAAAAAAAGCTGCTGATGATTGAAAGAAGGAAAAATCTTCAATTTTATTTTATTTTTTTCTAGATTTGTTTTCCGTGCTGATCACTAATGCTACCGACGCCAGGGAGGCAGCTTCCACACCTGGACCGTACCTATCGACCCATCAACTCATGAACTGGGGACCAACGGCTTTTCTTCCCTTGACGTGATCAGAGATGTTATGCCTCAGAACATCCCGGTGACGCCGACTGGGATTGAACCCTGGCCTACTGGGGTGAGAGGTAATCACGCTTACCACTACACCACTGGCGCCGCTCTTCAATTTTATACAAAATACAAATTAACAAAAAATCCCATATTTAGGTTAAAAGCTACTTCGGCCCATTTTGAGCCTATCGAGCAGAAAACATAAAAAAAATAACATGATTTCGGTGTTAACGTGTGATATGAATGTTTGCACCCATTATGCTCAAAAACAAAAGAGGCGCTCTGACCGAATCAATTTTTATCTTCATCCGATTTCCCGAAGTGAATTCAATTGCGTTCCAATGGCGTTTCAATGCATTAGGCCGAGTTTAGAATCCGTAGGCCGAGTTTGGGGTCAAAAAGTAGTATTAGGTTTTTAACGATATCTCAACAATGTATTATTCTTTATTTTTTTTTTTTTTTGTAGTGATCCAGTGGCAGCAACTTGCTTAAACTCTACACTGGACCCCTTTTATTGATAAATTTTGCTTCTATGAGCCTCTATTTTAAATCAACACACAGACGTTCCTAGGCTATGGTGCCCGTTTGGTCACAGTTGTTTTTGTGCTGATCCAAATAGTTTTGATAATATAATTGCGCATTCTTTTTTTTTTCTTTTTTTTTTAAGCTTGATTTTTGTCCCAGTTTTGTCTTCTGTCGTCACTTATTTTGTCATTTTGTCTTGTGTATTAACCCCCACTTGTCTTGTTTATTGTGTCAACTTGTGTCTATTGTCCTTCCCCATCTGTTACTCTGTCATGACTAATTTCATTGATATGTAAAAATAGTAATATCAATTACAGGATAATATGGTTGTTTCTCGATTACTTTTTCAAAGGGAAGCACCAGCTCCTGCAAACAATGCATCCGATAGTCGATCCGGCGCAACCGGCAGCTCCCACACGCTTATCAACACCACCAGCAGGTAGAGGAAAATTTCCCCTATCTGATGATAGTGCCAGCCCGCGTGGGCGAGCCACCAGTTAAGCCAAATCGACGACCAAACGCACCGCCTACAAAAGCCGATACGCTCCCTTGAAAAAGTTATCGAGATTTCTACTAATTAATGAATTATTGACAATTACCTCTCATGATCCTTGGCTCTGATTTTAACTTACCACTTTTTGATTATTTATCAAATACCTCTTCCAGAATATATAACTCCCCGATGCCTTGTTGGTTTCTGGTCTCATTTGGATTGGTCCTGAATTTGTTTGACATCCTGTTCGAAGTAATTCTTTGAGTTCCAGCTTGTACGTGTCTCACGTCATATGATTCGCCATTCATAAAGATAATGGGTTAAAAGGGAGTAAAACATACATAAAGGTAGATTAGTATTAGTTGTACTTGTTCCAAACAATAGAAAGAAGCATAGATGACTTAGTAGAAAAATAAAACTAATATATAACTAAAAGTGCAATGGATAAGTGTTAATTCCGGGATCATTTTAGTGTTAGTAGTTATGTTAGTTTTGATCCGTATTCAGCCCTGCCTGGAGGGACCCAGCACTATTTGCTGCAATTGTGATAAGATTATGCAACACTGCTACTACTACTATGTTAGATGTATGACTTGTCAATTTTCGCAACGCTATGTCTTTCAATAAATCACTCAATCAATTTGATGTTTGAAAATTTGCTCAAAATCGCTTTGTTGACACATCATACCTTACCGAAAACTAAAGCACAACAATCCTAATTCTTATTTCAAACCTATCAACATATTTAACACATCTTTCCTAAAACTTCACTTGTTCGTAAGCGCCTGGTTGAAGATATGACTTTCGCTATTGACATTGTCTGTAATTAACAAATACACTAAATAGGAAGATTTATTATACAACTTCATAGGCTAGTCGCCTCCCTAAGCGTCCTATCTCTTATGTTAATTAACTTTCTGAATTCTATAATTGAAGTTTATTTAATAAATAACTGAAATCTCTAATCTACCTACAAAATCATAACCTATGCTTTTAAACT